ATATACACCTTTAAATATGCACAGGCATGCTAGACTGAGTGCATTATGTCTACATGCCTTTAGATTGGTTTCTATACAATCGCTACACGCTATCGCCGACAGTTTTCTTTGATGCTGAGTGGTCGGTCGAATCGGGGAGCCTTCCCCATTGAGTCGGGGACTGCTGCAAAGATTGCACTGATAACACTGTAGCGATTGCATGGAAACCAAGCTTAGGGAATGAGTACCAGTACTGAGTACCTCCTCTTAGTAAGACGTTAAGGGCAACTCAGTTGATAGGGAGCTTTTGAATGTACGATGATAGTGCCTACATGAAGTCATCTAGGAGGCATCGTCGTCGTGAAAATCGAAGGCTCCATAGTGCCGTACGACGAAGTCCGACGCGATTTATCGCTATCCTATCCTACGTGTTATCAGTTATCTTCCAAAAGGCAATGTAAATCCATAAGTAAAGAAAATGTCTGAACTGCATAAATGACCCAAGTTTTTATCTCTGCAACAAAACATCTATAATACACGACTCGAGTGCGCGTGCCTTTATTATAACTTTAGGATGAGAAAAAAGTATGATATTAGTTTTCGGCACACGACGTACAGTAAAGTAAATACATCAAAGACAATTAGTTGTTTTTTTTTTCTATGGTACAATACAGAGATTATTTAAATCGCTGATAAAACGTCATGGTGTTATGTGATGATGATGAACTTAAAACACATCTTATTTATTGTGCTTTTCAATAGTGGAATTTTGGAGTATACAGAATTAAAGCGCTTCTGAATAGGGAACTAGATTTTGGATCTATACAAATACTGGATTGGATTGAATTGGATGATGATGAATTTTACTACTTAAGAGTGTTACTTTCGGTCATTGAGGTACTATTTCCTTAAATGTTCGCACCTCAGACCCAACTATGGTGGGGCTCATATGGGTGTGAACTCTTTGAAATAGGTAAAGTAAATACTTCAAAGACAAAGTTTTTAATATTTATCTTCTATGGTACATCACATTTATTAATTAGATCTAATGATTGCAGAACTGTTTAATCAATAATAAACCAAACACAATTTGATGTAAAAAATAGTCATCAAGCAAACCAGATGAAAATCGAATAGATCTCTATTGTTGCCGAAAATCGCTAAGAAAAGCTTACGAGAAATTTGTTGGCGCTTCATTTTGACTTCAACGGTGATGTGATGATGACGAATGTTACTATAAGAGTGTCTTTTCCAGTCATCTAGAGGTACCCTAAATTGTTGCACCTCAGCCTCAACCATGTTGGGCTGAGATGGATGTGGACTTACATCTATGAAGCAGGTAAAGTAAAATAACATCACACAAATTATTTAGATCTCTGATTGCCGAAAATCGCTGATAAAAGATCATGAGAAATAATGGTGATATGATGATGAATTTTACTATATATGAGTGTCGTTTCTGGCCATCTAAAGGTACTATTTCCTTAAGATCTCACGAAATACCCCACCCCCAGCATAATCTTTCAAACAGATCTGTGCTCTTGTACTCATTTATCTGCCCATCCTTCCTTCTATTCATCCAACCATATGTCATTGTTCTATTCATGTGCGGTTAAAAATACGCAATAAAAATAAAGTATTACGTCCAGAGGTTTAAATATATGTTCATTAAAAATGTTTCTTTAGATTGAGTACTTTCATTGGTGAGTATAATTGCTTTCAGAATATAAGCAAATAGTAGACTTAAAAGGTACAATGTATTCAAAATTTATTGGCAACCATTCTCAAGACAATGAGTACGGATGGTGCATATAAAACGTTTAGCGATCGGAATTATATTAAAACGAACCAATAGCTTAAAATTTATAATGAATACCAATTTATAGGCCTAGTTACCTTTAATTCAAATATAAATATCCACATTATTGTTAAAGATTATGCCTATATACATTACACTGAATACGTACTTTGGAAGTGCAGCCAAGCGTCAATTAAAACTTCCCCACAACATCATTCAACTGTTATTAAACGTAATACATAATGTACCCATAGTACAAATATAAAGTGTTTCCTCTGAATACAAAAACAAATTGTGTTGACTTTATACAAAATCCTCCTATACTCATGCTCATCTGAGATTCAATTACATTACTGTTTTCTACGTTACTGCTGGTATATATATATAT